GGTGCCGAGGCGGAGACGGAGAATGACAGGCCAGCCCTCCCTTCCCTAGGGTGGTTGGTTGGAGGTGAAGGGCAGGGGGAGGTGATTCCAGGTAGAAGGAGGACAGAACCCAGCGTGTCTGCAGACGAAAGCGCAGCATGGCAGGAGCAGAGGGAAGGCTGAAATGAGATTGGGCCTGCAGGAGCGGCCAACCTAGGATGTGTCCCGCGGGCCAGCGCAAGGGTTCAGGTTTTTTCCCAAGCTGTGGGGGAGGTTAACAAGCCCCTTCACGACCTGGTCTCTGCCCAGCTTCTGAAATCCCCAACTCCAGTTGGAACTCTCACCACCTGCTGTGGTAGTCCCCGTGCCCCACCTCCCCATGACATTCGCCTCGACCTCCGTGCGCGCTGAGCCCCTCCCGCCAATGCCCCCCTTCTCCTCCTTGCCTACTTAGCCCGTCTCTTCGTTCACTTCTCCTCCTCATCCTCCGGTGCTTGGGGACCTTGTTCAGCACTGTGGGAATTCCAGACCCTGGTCCTTTCTCTTCTCTTGCTGTCAGAGTTGTGGAAGACCCTGATGGCTTCTTTAGCCATCATGTTCTGTTATGAAACCCATGCACATGAATAGGAAGATGTCAGGGCTGTATCCCAGCACCCAGCACATAACTTGGCCCATGGCAAATATTGGTTGGATGAGCGAATAACTTTTTTTTAATTTTTTTATTTTTTATTGTTATGTTAATCGCCATACATTACATCATTAGTCTTTGATGTAGTGTTCCATGATTCATTGTTTGTGGATAACACCCAGTGCTCCATGCAGAATGTGCCCTCTTTAATACCCATCACCAGGCTAACCCATCCCCCCACCCCCTCCCCTCTAGAACCCTCAGTTTGTTTCTCAGAGTCCATCGTCTCTCATGGTTCGTCTCCCCCTCCGATTTCCCCCCTTCATTCTTCCCCTCCTGCTATCTTCTTCTTCTTCTTTTTTAACATATAATGTATTATTTGTTTCAGAAGTACAGGTCTGTGATTCAACAGTCTTGCACAATTCACAGCGCTCACCATAGCACATACCCTCCCCAATGTCTATCACCCAGCCACCCCATCCCTCCCACCCCCCACCACTCCAGCAACCCTCAGTTTGTTTCCTGAGCTTAAGAATTCCTCATATCAGTGAGGTCATATGATACATGTCTTTCTCTGATTGACTTATTTGACTCAGCATAACACCCTCCAGTTCCATCCACATCGTTGCAAATGGCAAGATCTCATTCCTTTTGATGGCTGCATAATATTCCATTGTGTGTGTGTGTGTGTGTGTGTGTGTGTGTGTGTGTGTGTGTGTGTGTATACCAGGATGAGCGAATAACTTTAAAGGTATCAAATGTCTCCATAGTTACTATTTCTGCCTTTTCCCCCTGCAAATATACCATCTGGGGGCAAGAATGTCCAAACTCCACATACCTGACTTTAAAATGAGCTTTGAGAAAGAACCCCATGGTAATTTAAAGACTGTTTTTTCTTTTTTTTAATTTAAAGCATTGTTAGATAAACTGACCTGTAATTGCTGTTCCTTATGACATAAAAACTCTATGTAGCACACCCAGAACACCGTGCTGTCAGGGTCCCGATTTGTTCTGGGACTCTTCTGTTCACACACTAGTTCACAGTGGTAGTCTTGAGCTAGAAACAACACTACAAATTATTTTATCTGTGAAGAAAATCAACAGTCTTGTTTATGGGAAGTGATTTTTTTTCTACCCATGATTAGGAAATCCCACCAAAAAAGTGTAAAGCAACCTCATTACCATCTTAAGGAAAGGCAGTTTCTACCCATTGCATTAAATGATCCTTTTTAGACCACCACCCTATGGCCAATCTGGCTAAATAAAATAGTACCTTAAAAGTTTATTTTAGGTCTTCTTCACTCTAAATTTGGACAGGTATTTCCCTCCTGTTAATTTCAGCACATTTAAAGGCATATGTAGCCTGCGGGACAATGAGCAAGTCCCCTGATTTAGCCCCGCCCTGTGACCACTGACTTGCTGAATTACAGTGTGTCCTAAAATTCAAGGAGGCTGGTGGTGTTACTTATACACTTGGTATATAGTTTTTTCTCAAAGCTGCAAGAATTGAGAAAACCTTTTGGAAGTTAAAATGAGGCTAGTTGAATGTTCTGGCTATTTTTGGAACACTCTAGGTCATATTCGAGGAAAGAGTCCTTAATCCTGGGGTCAGGGGGTGGGCGGTGATACTACCAAAAGCTGATGAAATGCAGTAGCTTGGGTGGGTTTGCTTTCTGCTCACCCAGCCCCCATACTCGAGTTAGGACCCCAGGAGAAGAGCCTTGCCAGGTGACCTTCACAGCTGCCGTTGACTAATTCCAAAGCACTGGACAAGTCACTTACTCACTTAGCTTAATTTTTCTAAAAGTTACATTCAAGGTAAGGTTCCCCAACTCCCTTTTCTGCTGTTGGCAAGAGAGTTTTTATGCTAGTTAACCTTCCTTAAAGACCAAGGCAGAAGCACTTAAAAAGCAAACAAGGGTCTAGGAAACTTTGCATTTCTGCTCTAAAGTGTTACTTATTGACACAAATTGCAGTCCTGGGGATGAGTGAAAATGAGAGCACACTGGAAAGTTTAGTCCAGTTTAGGCTGCTCGGTCATCAGGATCTGAGTTGCCTAGGTTCTGCTTTTCTCAAGAATTATTTTTTCTATGGGCAGTTAACTATTTCTTTTGCATTTATCTACACATCACAGGTTAACCACATTTTTGTTTTGTTTTTTAACATCCAGTGGCTCTGTAACTCCTTTGGCTTTTTTTTTTTTTAATGAATAAACGAAAGTGTCGTTACTTCACAATAGTACCCAGCAAACTCCAGAGGCCCAGGAAACCCCAGGCGAGGGCTGAGCTAGCGGGTCTTTGAAGTGATTTGCTCCTCCATGCTCACCCCACAGAGCTTTCAATTCATATTTGTACCCCCAGAAAAATTTGAATGACTCCACATTCTAGACCCTGAGGTTTGCTTCCAAGCAGCAGAAACGATGAGTTCACTTTGCAGATGAGAAGGGTCTACCAGGACATATCACATAGTCCTTTTATTTCCTAAAACAACAAAGTGGCTCATGAAAGACACAGGGTGCACCACATGACCCAGCATTTCTACTCCTGAGTAGACCCAAGAGAATTGAAATCTGATGTTCAAACTTGGACATGCATATGCATGGTGGCACCATTCACAATAGCTGAAAGATGGAAACAACCTGGTGTCCATTGTCATGTGAGGGGACAAAAAAAGCCATACAACAGATGATTATTCAGGCAGAGAAAGGAATGAAGCACTGATACCCACCACAACATGGATGAACCTTGCAAACATCGTGCTAAATGAAGAAGCCAGTCGTAAAAGGCTACATGTTGCAGGATTCCCTTTATATGAATAGCCAAAACAGGCAAATCCGTAGAGACAGAGAGCAGATGGTGTCACTACAGGCTGGCAGTTGGGGAAGTGGGGACTGACTGCTTAATGGGTACAAGGTCCTTTTGGGGTGACGAAAATATTCTGGAACCACATAGTGATGATGATTGTACCACATTATGGATAATTAAATGCCACTGAATTTTCCACTTTAAAATGGTTGCAATGGTAAATGTTATATGTATTTTACTACCAAAAAAAGAAAAAAGAAAAAGAAAGAAAGGCACAAGGCATATCTGGAAAGACATTTCTGAGTCAGACTGGATCCCAAACTGAAATACCTTTGGGATGAGATGGGTAATAAAAGGGAAGGCAGTGTGAGAGAAGAGAAAGACAAGTGGGGGTTCATGGGTCTCCCCAAATACTAAAAAGAGAAAGTTTAAAAGACACCATGCTAACAGTAGCTCTTGGTGTTTGTCGGTGAGTTAGATAAGGCCAAGGGACAACAGAGTGTATAATCCTGGTGTAAAGGAAACAAAAGACCCCTGGCTTAGCTCACTGTGGTTTTCCAAGGTAGTTTAGAGTCTTGAAATGCTGAGTGACACAGATGCTTTAGATTAGACAGGCTTTGAGAGACCTTTAGCAACACAGATAACTAAGCTAAACTTCAAAGGTGGGGTTTGCTGTTGGTTAAAGAGAAAAGATAAAGAACTTGCGGGCAACATAGAGATAGTCCTAGAACAGAACCTACCGCTTGCTCTGTATTCCTGACTTGGTTTATGGGGATAAAAATGTGTGTCCCATCAACCTCACAAAGAGATGTTTGATCTGGGACAGGGCATGTAGACTAAGTCCCAGTTTCTCCACCTGAAAAATGGAGATCATAGGACTCGCTAAATCTCACTACCTAGCTGTCTACGTCCTCCTTGTCTGTCCTTGCTCCCAAAATATAAGCTCCTCTCTGTTGACCCAGGACCCATCCCAGGGCCTGACACTAGGAATTCGGTGAATATTTCCTGAATGAACGGGGGTTGAGAGCAGTCCGTCCTGGAGAAGAAAAGGCAGTCGGGGGTCACAACAAAGCAAAGTATGTCAAGTTCCTGAAGGGGGACGACTTGGAAGGACTGAAACTTGTCCTTCATGCTCCCCTGGAATGGAGAGCCGGGACAAAAGGCTGCCATCTGCAAAGTGATATATTTAATAGTAAGATGAAATGGGCCACCTGGACAGGTGACATCACCGCTTCCCTGGCTCTGGGGGTATTTAGACACCAGTCTGATAGCCACTTCGCTGGAAGTTTTAAAGAGGTTCAGTATTTGAGTGAGTAAAGTAATCAAGCCTTAAGGTCCTTTCCACACCTGAAATCCGTTCACTCAAGCTTTCATTCCTTCATTCCAGTAGCCACTTACTTGTTGCTGTGCCTGGAACAGTGTTGGGGGTAAGTGGGATAAAGCAATGATCTCTCTGATCATTCCTGCCCTCAGAGGCCTCACAGTCCTAAAGGGTGTGTAGACGGGAAAATTAATCTCTACAGTAACAGCATATGATAAGCCATGTATTACTTTCCAATGTCAACCCCCGTTTTGTCTGTCATGAACAGTGCACCAAGACCTGCGGCGAAGGCTCCAGGTACCGCAAGGTGGTGTGCGTGGACGTGGACAAAGGCAGCGAGGTTCATGGCGTACGCTGCGACATGAGCAAGCGGCCTGTGGACCGCGAGAGCTGTAGTTTGCAGCCCTGCGAGTATGTCTGGATCACAGGAGAATGGTCAGAGGTATGTGCCCGGGATTCTGTAACCACCTTCAGGTCAGCGACAGCCTGAGGACAACAGAGGGACCAGGGCAGGAATGGGGAAGACTCTGGCCCACCTGCCAGTTCTGCCTCCTGGGGCCAGAGCCCCCCATGTTCAAGGTGGGAGAGCGCCTGAGATGGTCTCCTAGCTCCCCTAAATTCTGTTGGTATGCTAAGAAAGGAGAATTATCACAGGGCCTGCAAGTTCATTTGATGCCTGTCGGTGTCTGAAGAAAGTTAAGGTAAGAAAACGCCATTAGTGTCAGGGAGACAATAGGGAATGGTGGAGACTATGACAAACCAGCACATACCATGTGAAGGGAGCAGGCTTCTCTCCCTCTCCAGCGGAGGCCACGCAGAAATGTGTGTCCAGTGTTACCAGACCTGATTTTTCAAGAGAGGACAAAAATCTGAACTTTTATGTGAGAGCTCCTAACTTTAAAATGTGGACTCAGATCTTTTATTTGAAACATTGTGTGAGGCAAACCAAACACTTTCATGGGCCGGATATGGGTCGCTTGTTTAACAACCTCTGATCCAGAGGGAGAAAATAATTTTCCATAATATTCAGGGAATCAATTTCTTCTTCTCCTTGTATACACAATGCCTAACCTAGAAACTTTTTATTATTAATACACCAATGGTAATAACAGCATGATTGTATTATTTTCAAGCCTCATAACATTTTCAAAGACTGAAAGACCTGTAATATCCAAACCAGCTGTCATTTGCCCAAAAGGAATGAGAGGTACAATTACCTGGGCTCATAGCAAAGGTGCTGAAAATTTTTAGGTTAATATGCTCGTTGTCACTGGACCCACTTTCAAGTTTGGCAGGGCAGCGATTTCACATTTTAATAGGAGGAATGTTTGCCGGTAGGTGATACGTGTGTTGGGTATTGAATTGTTTCTGCACTGTAGCTGGCCTAAAGTCCTTTCTAACTATGTCTCCTGATCTTCCCCTTCCCCATCCAGGGGGGACATCTGGCAATGTCTGGAGACATTTTTGAATGTCACAAGTGGGAGAATTGGGATACTACTGGTATCTAGTGGGTCAACGTCAGGGTTGCTTCTACACACACCCAACAGAGAGCCATCTGGCCCAACGGGCAATGGTGCTGAGGTTGAGAAACCCTGCTTTACCCCAACTCTTCATGTTCTCAGTGTGCTCTTAAAGAGTGGAGGGGAGACATGGTCCAAATCATTAGGAAATAGATATACCATTGGCTAGCCAGGAACCCAGGGAGTCCAGATGCTTGTTCAAAATAGTCCTTGACTTTGGGTTGGAAAGTCAATGCCAAGTCCTTGACTTAGGCATAAATTCCAAACCCATTCAAATCCCAGGGAGGGTAGGGGGAAGGCATTTGGGGAGGGCTCCTCTCTTCTCTTCGATTCACCTCTCCTGGTTCCTCGTCAGGCATGGTCCATAACTTCTGGTTCTCAGCACTGCCCCACCAGGCCACGCCCTGGCTTGCAGTAGGGAAAAAGCCTGCCCTTCTGCCTCTCTCCCTCCTCAGGCCTCTGTCCCTCTCTGCCTCCTGGAGGCCTCCTCTTAGTTGGTTTCTGGCTTAGTTCTTGGTCATTCATCTTTCTGGAGTTTCTATACCTTTCACACTGCGAGCATTGGCATCTTCATCTTAATCTTTTGTGTGTTGTTATTATTATGCTAAAAGAATTTTGATCTCTTTATAAGACTGAGTCATGTCACTCCTATAGCTTTATTTTAACCTTAATCTTAACCCCCAACAGATGAGATTTGTAGAAGATTTAAAAAAAAAAACCCTCAATATTTCTGCAAATTCTCAAGTGTATCATGGATTGAAAACTCTGCAGATTTAAAGGCAAAGTTGCAAGGGTTGGAGATAGGTCCCCACATGGATGCAAGGACCATGGTGCCAAAGGCACTGGACCACAAATCCCTCTAGGAAAGCTTCTGGTAAAACACAAGAAGCCACAGCAAGCCACACCTTCTCTCTGGGACCTCTGTTACCTGGCGAGCTGTGTGCTTTCCTCTGAGCTCTACTTGAATGTGGGGAAGCCTGGGCCAGATGGGGAAGGAGGACCCATCCGCCCTGGCTGATGCATGCAGTTTCTCTGCTCGGGCCTGAAGTGTCTTACCAAGGCAAGGAGTGCACATTCCTGTTATTTCATCCTGCTTTACTGTTCTTTTCAAATTAGAGAAGTAATAGATGCTCATGATGAAACAAACACATGACCCCGAGGCATAGAGAGTCTAGAGTAAGAGGTTCCCCTCTCCCTCCTGCCTCCCAGCCTGGACAGTCTGCCGCCGCATGAAACACCCCAGACTAGCTTGGCCTTCCCCTGGCTGGCGTCTGCTGGCTCTTCAGGCATTTAAACATCAGCAGCCAAAGAAGGAAAAAACGTATGCAGGATGCTTCCAGGGATGCTCTATGTACCTCTGGCGGGGCCTGCTCCCTCCTTGCCTCCGGGACCTCTTCAGGGGGTGTCTTCTCCCCTGAGCAGTTATAAGGGAGGAAAGCCACATGGCTTAAAGCAGCAGCTCAGGAGACATTAGGAAAGAATGACACGGTGACTTTTAATAGCTCATGAGACCCAATGGATGCTAGGGTCCCTCACCCCAGAAAATGCATCACACACCACTTGCTGTGGACGGCTTTGGGGGTTCATCTAGGCCACCTCAAACAGCCTTTGGTCTCAAGAATCCTGATCCTCTTGCTTAATTTTATGTAACACCTTCACAGGAGATGGCTGGTTTTTTGATGACGGTGTCTAAAAACACCATCAAAACTGAATTCACTATCCTTCAGTGTTAGTTTTTAAATATATTATATAAAATACTTAGCTTGGGAGGTTGAACATACTTGAAAATTGTATCAGTAGCCAATTAGATGTCCCATCAGGGGAAGGGTCTTGGACACTAGTAAGATGTGCATTTCTTTCTCCTTTTCTGTATTGTTTGCATACTTTTAAATGCTGTGTAATTACGGTAAAAAGGTAAGTGACTGCCTGATCTGGTGAGAGAGAGAAAGAGAGAGGGTAGACAAGAAAGGTAACATTGCAGTCAAGATATACGGGCAGGGAGAGAGGAGAGAGAAGGACATTGAGTGGAGGGCAGACGGGAAAGCAAAGCGCATGGACCCGGAAAGGAAAAGTCCCCTCTTGGCTCAGTGCTTGGGTTTCACACGTAACTCAGGTGGGCTGTGATGCCCCCCACCCCAGCCCCGTGGTCACAGCTCTGGTATGGTCATTGTAGGTTTGGAAAAGCATGCAGTGGGGCTGGGGATCCTATAAATGGGACCAGGGACAGCTGGAGTCCCTCCCCCTTTCTCCCCCTGAAATCCAAAGAAGGGGCCCAAGGCGCCCCCACCTGCCCTGGGGGCCGAGAAGATACAGTGGAAGCTCTAGATCCTGGAAGACGTGGTTTCGGGTTGCATGGCTCCTGTGTGCTTGGGGTCTGCCACTTGAAATGCATAAACAAGCTAATAAAGGGAGCGCTTTCTGCAGCGCCGTCAGGGGTCAGCGTTGGAGGTGGAGGTCAGAGGCCTATTGTGGGCTCCCCCAGGGCGCTGCTCCAGCCTCTTCTCCCAACCGCTGTCTCCCCAGTGCTCAGTGACCTGTGGAAAGGGCTACAAACAAAGGCTCGTCTCCTGTAGCGAGATTTACACCGGCAAGGAGAATTCTGAGTACAGTTACCAAACAACCATCAACTGCCCGGGCACTCAGCCAGCCAGCGTCCACCCCTGCCACCTGAGGGGGTGCCCTGTCTCGGCCACCTGGAGAGTCGGCAACTGGGGGAGCGTAAGTAGACTGCCTGGTCACCAAATCCGAAAGTGCTGGGATCCCCAACTCCATCTTAAACACGCCCCACCTGCCCCACCCAAAGTGATTCTCCTCCCAGCAGAGATGATGGGAAGACATGGGAGGTAACGTCTTGAAATGGGCTCATGGGAAGTGAACGTTCTCTTCTTGGGTGACAGGGGGGCCCCACTGAGTAGAGCGTGGGCCCCGAAGCCGGACAGCCGCACTGTGCCTCCAGGCGCCGCTACGTCCCGGTTGAATGCAAAGCGCAACACTCTTGAGTTTCAGTTTCTTCGTCTGCAAAATGGGTGGCTGTGAAGAAGAAATGAGTTAATATGTCAACAGCTCTCAGATTATGATAGCAAATGTCCAGTTACCTGTATTTTACCACAGGGCTTTTAAAAAAACAAGCCCCTAGAACTTTGTCATATAGTAAGAGTGACAGAAGAGTTAGTCATTGCTTCTGTGGTCAAGAAGTCAATATATCCTCACCCCTCTTTAATGGGAATATTTCCTTGCATTAGGGGTACAATAAGTGAGACTGTTTTAAATTGGGACTTCCCGGGACTCTTGCCATCGCCCCCGGCTCCGGACGCCTAGGTTCTCAGTGTTGGAAAGCAATAAGGTGAAAATATGGGATCAGTTGAAAGTGGTTAGGGTTTGATTCCTGGCTCCACCATGACCTTGAACAAATTTCTTGACATGTGGGCCCTAGTTTCCTCTCTATAAAAATAGAAAAATTGGTAGTACTATCTCAGGGAATTCTTGTGAGGCTTAAATGAGAATATATATATATATATATCATAATATGTACATATACCTATGTCTATAAATACACATGTAAGACACGTCTGTGTTTAAGTGGGTATCATGCTTAGCACAGAGACAGGCCCACCGTAAGTGTCCCGTACACATCAGCTGCTGGTGTTCAGCAGCCTAGGGTCTGAAATGACACTCTGGACATGATGTCTCAGGCTGTGAGGTGTGCACCACAGAGCCTGCGCTCAGGAGTGGCATCCCTGACTCTGCTCTGCCTTGTAGTGCTCGGTGTCCTGTGGTGTGGGAGTGACACACAGATCTGTGCAATGTTTAACCAGCGAGGACCAGCCCAGCCACTTGTGCCCTGCTGCTTTAAAGCCGGAAGAGAGGAAAACATGTCACAATATCTATCACTGTAAGTCAGCCTGCAGAAACCATCTTCCTGGGGCACGGAGAACAGGGTTTCTTGGTTTCTTTGTCTGTTGGCCTACCCTTTGTGGAAATAGAGAATTTATAAGAGAAATAAGGATTGGGGATGTAATGCACAGCATGATGCCTGTAGTGAACACGGCTTTTGGTACATTTGAAAGTTGTTAAGAGAGTCAATCCTACAAATTCTCATCAAAAGGGAAAAAACATTTTTGTTTTTTCTTGTATCTCTCTGAAATGATGGGTGTTAACTAAACTGTAATTATTCACGGTGTATGGAGGTCAAGTCATTATGCAATACACCTTAAACCCATAGGGTGCTACATGTCCATTACCTCTCCGTAAAGCTGAAAGAAAAAAATAAAGGAAACGTTTATCCCCAAAAGGGGAAAGAATTTATTTTAAAGAAATTGACCCCTTTTTAAAAGCAAAATAGTGTCACTACATCAAAAACTAATGATGTATTGTATGGCGACTAACATAACATAATAAAATTAAATTAAATTTTAAAAAAGGAAAAAAATAGTGTGAACAGGATATTCACTGCGTAGGCGGTTGGTGGACATCTTGGAGCATCACACTCCATTTTTGCATTTCGTGTTTTCTAGGTGAGTTACCCCAAAACTGCAAGGAGGTAAAGAGACTGAAAAGTACCAGTGAAGATGGTGAATATTTCCTGCTCATCAAAGGAAAGCTCCTGAAGGTGAACACTGGACATCAGTCATTATTTCTAGAATGATTTGGGAGTGCATGGCACTGGGTGTCATCGTCTCATTGCTGAGCTGATCTTCATCGTTTATTTCTGGTCTTTCAGATCTTCTGTGCAGGGATGCAGTCGGACCACCCCAAAGAATACATTACACTGGTCCATGGCGACTCAGAGAATTTCTCCGAGGTGTACGGACACAGGTAGAAGAACTCAGGCTCAGAAGAGCAGGCACCTACAAATCCCTGGAAATACCTTCCCATCCTTACCAGAACATTCTCTCTGTAATACAGGTTGCACAACCCAACCGAGTGTCCCTACAATGGGAGCCGACGGGATGACTGCCAGTGTCGGAAGGACTACACGGCAGCTGGGTTTTCCAGCTTCCAGAAAATCAGGATAGACTTGACGACAATGCAGGTCATCAGTAAGTCCAGTGGAATGTCACAGGGGAGGGAATGTGCCCATGAGTTTCTCTATTCGGCCAACAAGCTGCTCCCTGCTCACTGGCTAGGGACGAGGCTCTGAGATCCCGAGGGGAACAAGATGAGCTGCCTGAGGTCCAGCGATGACAACCCCGGTCCAAGCTGCGTGGGGGCGGGGTTTGCTCCTTTCTGTTCCCTGCCTTCCAGCCAGTCCCCGGAAAGTGCCTAGCACGGGGCGGAGCTCCATCAGACTCGGGATAAGTGAATGAATGGAGGAGGTGAAGGCCTCTGAAGGGCACTACTGCACTGTGGGGTGACAGGGTAGCATCCCCCCAAATAGGACACTGAATCTGAGAACTGAAGGTCGAGTTTAAAGCTGTTGCCCGATTTAGCCGTGCACAAGGTATCAGTGTGGGGAAGCAGAAGTTTTTGAGGGAGAAGAAAGAGCAGATACAAACCTCAAAACTAAGAGACTTGTGTGGAATCACCGGTCCCCGCACAGGGCTCCACCATGCAGAGTGTACACAGGTGCAAGGGTATATGCCTAGTTTTATCTGATTGTTGATTTACGGAAGAAAATTGGTATACAGATTTACCTTTTTTTAGCATATATTTTTAAAGATTTTATTTATTTATTTGATAGAGAGAGAAAGAGAGAGCACAAGCAGGGGGAGTGGGAGAGGGAGAAGCAGGCTCCCCGCGGATCAGGGAGCCCGACGTGGGGCTCGAACCCAGGACCCTGGGATCACGACCCGAGCTGAAGGCAGACGCTTAACGGCTGAGCCGCCCTCAGTCCTCAGACTTACCTTTTTTAACTAGCCTCCATGTGAGCTGATTTAACGACTGAGCCACCTTCAGTCCTCAGACTTACCTTTTTTAACTAGCCTCCATGTGAGCTGATTTCGTACCCCAGCCCACATCACATTTTTTTTAGGGACATTAATCCTAGGCGTGGTTAAAGACAGCTAAACTATCCAAACATGTTCCCTCGAATGGAGGAGAAACAGAAATCATGAATAATTAATTTTTTCCTCATTAACATGGCTCCCATAATATTGCGCTGCTTTCCTCTTGAGATAGATTAAACTTGATTTGTACCAAGATACTTTTTATTGCCTTCAGCCAGCCTGACGCAGACTCAAGGCAGAGAGTCTGCAGTTTCTTGCTCAGGAAAACACTGCAGCTAAGACCCAGGGCTTCTCTGCTCTGAAGCTGCAAGGACCCCTTTCCTGGCGGGACAGAGAACTCCGATTTCCCTCCCACTGCAGCGTGGGTAACTGCAGAAAGATTAAGGCCTTTTGCTGTTCCCGAAAGGCTAGGCGAAAGGTAAAAAGCTGCCTTCTGCCTTCTGCCTTCTGTTCCATGAGCGACAGCTTTTGGGGGATTCTCACTTGAACTCCTCCTGATCTGTGGTCCCCATTTGTAGAGCTGCTCCAAAGGAGGAGCTCCAAGAGGGTTAAAAACACAAGCATTGTTTTTATTGGCTTTTTTTTTTTAAACTACAAGTGAGCCCCAAACTTGAGAAACTGCCATTAATACTTTCAAGATGTGGGTTCTAATTGCTCCACATTTTGGCAATAATAGCGCATAGGCCATGGGAGGACAGATGAAGCCTCAGGGAATAACTCCTAAGTAGCTGGACATGCTTTTGTGGCTTATTGCCTCCTATCCTTAAGCCTGGGAGGCGGTATTCGGGAGACCCACAACCATCCAAGGACACTACATTTAATGGAGGTGACTCACATATTTATGTATATGAGAACCGATTCCAAAGTCATCTTAAACCCCCCTTTTGGCTTCCATACCATGAAGAGACTGTGCGGATAAAACCCAGGGAACGAGACTCTTGGAACCACAAATATAATGGGGAGAAAGCAAGTGCACATCTGGATCCATTTGCTCACTAATGATACTTTGGATTTTTTTTCCCCGCTCCTACTCCCTCTTACTCTTTCTCTTGCTACGCTCCTTCCCTTCTGCCTCCCTGGGACTGTCCTGTCCCTTCTGTGCCTTTTTTTGCCCTTCCCTCTCCTCTCCCTTTCTCCGAAACCCCACAGCCACTGACTTACAGTTTGCCAGGACGAGCGAAGGGCACCCCGTCCCTTTTGCCACAGCCGGGGACTGCTACAGTGCTGCCAAGTGCCCACAGGTACGTGCTGGGGTCTCCCCTGACCGAGGACCCACAGCCCACCCTGCCCGCAGGGGATCCTTGGCTGCATCTGCCCCTGGGAACGCAGTCAGAACAGCTATTCTGGAGGGCCATGCGTGCCCGCCTGCATCAGGAGACAGGCTCAGCAATGCTCAGAGCTACCAATGTAGCAATCCCTAGTGTTTCCCAAGGAACCGATCAGAGCTACACGCCAAACTTCTGCATTCATCAAAATGCACCTATTATAGTGGTAAAAACTTAGAAGTAAATGAGACGTCGGATGGCAGGGGCTTGCTTAAACAAATTATGATGGTTAAGAAAATGAAAATTACACAGTCAGTGACATGCTGCTCTGTGTTTCCTGACTGGCTCTTGAAGAAAATAAAAAGCCCTGCTTTGTAGCCTTTGCCAGTTTCCAAGGTGTCAATAGTCGCCTTCCGCCCCACCCCCACCCCACCCCAGTAAACTGATTTCAAGCCCGCGATGTTCTGTCACTAAATGGAGCTCACACACCAGGGTCAGCCATTAAAAATTCTAAACATTGCATGATACAGAAAAATTCTTATCCCTACTTCACGTGTATAAAACATATCGTGTTCAGACCAAAAGTGCAAGTTTAGCATCGCCTACTGGATTCCCTCCTCAGCAGAGTCGCTGACCGGCCATGGCCTTGCCGGACTCTACTTCCACGCTTTCTTGCCTCTTTAGAGGCATGGCAACCTTTAACTTGCCCTTTGAAACGTGCTGTCCTAATAACCAGCCCACTGCCAAATTTGCAAAGCAGGCATCAGTCTTTGCGAGAAGCTTCTGCCCTGAGAAGCGATAAGGAACTTGGTGATCGGTGATCTCAGGCAGGAGAACTTGGCCCCTCGTTCTTGCTCTGGTTCGCATGGGGTCTTCACAAGGCTGTTGCTAAACTCTGGGTCAGGAATTTCCCACTTTGCCAACAGGCCTTCAAAAGTCTGGGGACTGGGACTGGGAGATGCATTTGGAATCCTAGGCACTGTCTCCCCAGGATGGATTTACGCCCAACCACAGAGATCATCCAAAGACAAACACATCTGAATTTTCTTTTAGCGAAGTGTTTTCTCAGCCCCCAGCTTCAGAAAGCAATGCTAAACATTTTGGAGAAGTGAAAAGGAAGCTCTCAGGGAGAAAGAAAATAAACAAAGGGCATAATGGTAAAAGGGGGCCTCTCCTCTATTACCCAGGAATTGAAAACTTTTGAAGTGCTGTTTCTTAAAGCAGCTGATGACTTCAAACACCCCACTGGTATGGGTTGCATTTTAACAGCTAATAGATGAGCCCTGTCCTGCCTTTTTCAAAAGTCAGGAGGATTTCCTTGTTTCTCTGTGCGCATCTTTGGGGAAGTTTAAGTAAATTAAAGGTAATTTGCATTCATGTCTTTTAATAATTCAGAGACAAATGAACTTACTGATTTGCTAAATCCTAACCCCTGAAGCAGTTGCTAAATGAGAAAACCCAAAGCCTAGTGAGAAGCTAATTTATATTTTTCCTAGCCCATTCTTCAAACCATATCGGGCACTTTGAGAATTCAGTTCCTCAGACATGGATTGAGCACCAGCTACGTGGGTATGAAAGCCGGGAGTGTTGCAGATCGGTTTTCCAGGGAAAGATCTGTAGGAGCACACTTGTGCAAGGTGCTTTGGAACAGACGGTTCCTCCCATAACCTAACGATTGCACAGAAGTCAAAGCGGAGGGGCGTTCTGTTTGCTACCTTGCTTCCTTCTCCCCCCCACACACTGTTGCTTTGGGGATTTATTTAGCAATAAGAATACCCCCCCCTCCGAGAGCCCCCAACTGAAAATACAGCCAGAATGTGGTTTTTCTCTTCTGATCACCAGGGATGTGGCATTATCGTGGTTGATGCTGGTATTGGTCACATTTATGGAGGGTTTCCTAGATTGTAGACTTTGCCCAGCATTTCTAAGACTGTAGCATGTGATCCCCACAGCAACCTGTGAGAATACCCCCCGTTTACAGATGAGAAAATGGAGCCACCGAGAGGTTGGGTAGCTTGCCCCAACCCACACAGCTGGTGCTCAGTAGAGGCCAGATTCTATCCCAAGTGCGTCTGAGTGCAAACCCACACTGGCCAAGGTGTCCGCCTGACACCAAGTGCAGACAAGACTTTGCAGCCTTCCCTTTTGTCCCAACAAAGAACAAAACCTCTCTTTGTCTCAGGCACATCTTTTGCAACTCTCTCTGGATCCTCTAGCATACGCATACTCTGAAATACTTTTACTCTCTTGCATCAGCAACAGGAGGTAGTAGCTGTCGCTCTCAGGCCCTCTACCCCCTGAAGATGAGGGGCAAATATGTCCCACCTGGAGCTAAGAGGCTAGTAAGTCTTTACTCCTTGGGCAGCCCTCAACTTAAGGTGGTGCTTATCAGCAGAAAATGGAGGTCCCCCGTGCTGGGGAAGGTGGAAAGAGAATGAGGAGGAAGACCTCCTGTTCTGTGAGGTGCATCCCCTCACTCTGAGATAGCAGGTCGGGCTAGCCGTGCGTGTGGCGCGTGCTCAGATCCTGGACCCCCAGATCAGCTGGGGGCGTTCTTGGGCTAGAAGCCAGGTCAGCAGCCTGGACCTTCCAAGAACCTTGAGGTTGAAGCCAATCCAGTCTACCTTCTCCGGCAGTGCAGGTCGGGGTGGAGGAGGACGTCAGCCTGGAAAGCAGGATGGGGTTGGGGGGAAGAGAGGGATCCTGGGCAGTGATGCGGTCTGGACATTATGAACGGCGTGAACGCCCGCCTCGGGGCAGGCTGGAGAGATGAGGAGGTGGCCGGTGGGACAGGGAGGGGATGGTGCAGCTCGGAGAGGCCTGTGTCTGGGGAGGCCGGGCAGGGAGGGCTTTGTGCTTCAGCACATCTGCAGTCGTGGACACCTGTTGAGGCTCTTTGACATAACAGCTGCTGACATCTGTAGAGTACTGTCATAAAGTAATTTCCAAAAATGTTTCTAAGATACCACCTACTCTCTGCTGGCTTATGAGTTGGGTGCATTATAGCTTCTATCTAATTCCCTACTAACCCATTTTACAGATGAACTCAGGGAAGTGAAGCCGTTCGCCTGAGGTCACACTGAAAGTAGAGGAGTCTGGATTCTAGGAAAAATCCATCCTCTACACCAGAGTTTCTCAACTTCAGTACTATTGATGTTTTGGGCTGGATCATTCTCTGTTGTGGGAACTGTGCTGTGCATTGCAGGATATTTGGCAAGATCTCTGATGCTAGTAACACACACACGTGCACACACACATACACACACCTGCCAGTTAGGACAACCAAAAATATCTCTAGAAATTGCAAATATCTGGGGGCAAAATAGTCCTCTGTTGAGAGCCACTAACCTAGACCAGACTAATCACTTCTGTGAGTTGGAATCTTATATGTCCCCATGTTATAGATGTGGAATCTAAGGCCTCAAAGGGGTTTCTAAACTCTGCTAAACTCTGTAATTATGAATGGCACTGATATGGAGAGGAAACCTACAGAGTACACCTAGTCCCAGACGTCAGAGTGGACGAGCTAGGATGGAATATTTATTAAGAATCTATCAAGTGCTTGGTCATGTGTTACAAACCATTACTGATGGAAATAAAGTAATACCAAGGCCCTCCCCTCACTAAGCTTACTGTTCTATTGGAGTCAGACAACCAACACAAAACACCTGCTACCAGTATTTCTCAGCATCTACTAGGTTCCAGCCATGTCTGCTTGGCTAATTTCACTCAGCCCTCCCTGCAGTACTCTGAGGCAGGTACTGTTATTATCTTCCATTTTACAGATGGACAAACTGAGTTTCTGAGAGACTAAAAAAAAAAAAATCTGTCCAGGATTTCATGGCGCGCGGGGGGTGGGGGGGAGCCTGGGGGAGGGAAGAGCCGAATTTTTACACTTAGCTCTGGTTGGCTGGGAGTCTCCACCTCACGGCCCTCCTCCTCCTCCTCGCTTTTTTAAAGACTGCTTTGACAAAGTAGGGATTGTGTAAGGTTCAGAGAGGAGAGGAAGCATCCGCCGTGAGCCTGTTGGTGCAGAACATTTTAAATTCTGAAACTGCTCCTTATGGGGTAGGAAGCCTCAACAGACTATTTCAGGTGCTGTTGTGGAGTCAGTTTTGAAAGCGAGACAGAGACAGAGGGGGAAAGCAAGAGAGGAGCTCTGCTGCAGCGGCTCCTTAGAAATAAACCTGGAAAGCCTGAGCCCCCGTTTTGAAAAGAACCCCGGAGCGGGTTGGGATCTGGGATCCGGGGCGTGGAAGAGGCGGCCCGGCCGCAGGCCTTGTAGAGCGGGCCGCGCGCGCCCTCTGCTGGCGATCTCGGAGAACGCGCCTCTCCTTTGAAGTCCCGCCCCGCTGTGCTTAGTGCGCAGAGCGCTCAGCGCGGCGGGGAGCGGCAGCCCAGGAAGCTTTGGCAGCGAGATCTTGTTAGAAAAATTACACTGTGACATTTTGTTCCTGAAGGAATCCGATAATTGTGAGCAACATCAGGATTGCTGTGTTAGGGAGGCAAAATGGCGCTGGTTGAGAGCGAGGACTTTGAAGTCAGGAAAATGTGAGTTGGACTCTCACTGTATCCTGGAGAAGTTACTCACCTCCGCTGGGCCTCAGTTTCCCCATCTGTAAAGAGAACCCCTTCACAGTGCTCTTACGAGGATGCATGAGATGATGCATGTAAAGTGCCTACCCCAGATCTCCCCCCCTCCTTCCAGGAAAACCCTCATTAATTAGTAGCTATCATAATTAATTAATGTCTTCCTTTCCAAGGTCCCTTTTATTGTGTGGTCTTTGCTTAGGACATCACGTGGACTAAAAATCTCTTTCCTTGGCCATTTATTCCAGGGTCGTTTTAGCATCAACCTTTACGGAACCGGCCTCTCTTTAACTGAATCAGCCAGATGGATATCACAAGGGAATTACGCTGTCTCCGACATTAAGAAGTCCCCGGTAAGGTTACCTAGTGGCTTCGGATGGGTTTTGTTTTCTCTTTCCTTCCTTCCGTGTTCATCTGTTGTGGTGGTGCTAGAGGAATGAATGTGCTTTCCCACGTCCTCAAACCGTTCTGCAAAGTGTCCGGAAGAGAATGTAGGAAATGAATGGAAGGTGAAGCATGTGTAAGTGTGTGTATCAGAAAGAGCCTTGCTTCCCTTCTGGTGAATTCTTCTCTTAAGTTGTGAACCTGTGAGCCATCCAAGTCATTAGACGATGCTTAACCGGGAAGCTGAAAGCAGGAGGAAGCCTCCAAGAGAGGATGTGGTTCAGACACTTCGCAGTTTAGCCAACATGAGATTCTTTTTGTGAACTTAAGGAAAAAGATGTTTGTTGGTTGTTTTAAGAAAACTTGAAATATGAAAGAGGCTGGAAGAAAGGGAGAACTTACCAGGTGATGTTTCCGGGGAGTTAGAGAAGCACTCGGGGGTCCCACACTAACCAGCTCTTCGTGCTCGGTAGTCTTGCCACTCAGGGTGTGGTCCACACGGAGCACCACCATCACCTGAGGCTCATGGCAAGTGCAGTTTCTGGGGCCCCAGAGCTTCTCAGTCAGGATCCGCCGCTGAACAAGGTCGCCAGGTAGATCATCAGCACAGTACAGCTTGAGAAGCACAGGTCTGCGCAACTGTTTCTCAGCGCTTTTTCTTAGAACCACCTGGGAAAGCTTAAAATGCATGTGCCCCCGGCCCCAGCTTGATTCTTTGAATGGGAACCTGAGGCGGAGTAGAATTTTAAACTCCCTGGGCAATTCTCTTGTAGAGCCAGGGCAGAAACTGCTGCCTTCCCTCAGAACTTCTGAGCACCTGGGACAGGAACCTGACTTGTGGACAAATGGGAAATTGACCAGAGTATGACCCAGGGTCCCAAGTCCTGCCTCAGCCAGGACCCCACCCCGGGGTCTCCTCAGAAATGTGGGGAGGGGAGAAGAAAGAAGATGAGAGAACTGGAGAAGCAGCTATCATTCCAAAGTAGGGTAGCCAGCTCAAATACAGGATGCCCAGGTAAATTGGAATTTGAAATAAACAGGCAACAATTTTTTTTTTTTTTTACTGTAAGCTTGTCTTAAACATTGCATGGGATGTATTTATTCTAAAAAAAATATTTCTTTGAAATTTACATCTAACTCGGTGTCCTGTATTTTTCTTTGCTAAACCTTATCAAAATCAGAATATAAAGAAGAAATTCAAGTTGCTTCCCCCCAGAAAGAAACATCCACTTGTGACTTCCGGGGGAAATCCCAGAGTTTCCCGAGCCCATTTATTTTTTAGCTGCCAGGATTAAATTTGTCTATGACAAAAAACCATCTTACTCCCTTTTTTCTCTAAGCCAATCAACCACCTAAAATCTGATTCACTAAATGGCCATATTGATTGCTCATAAATCATTAAATGTTTTCCTTTGCACTGAAAGGAATAAAGATAGCTGACCGCACACATGCTTTAGAATGTGCTCCCAAATTACAATGTTCTTCCCTGCCACTACCCCTCAGGGTCCATATGTTATGGTTCAGTCGCTCAGAGGAACAAAAATACTTAACTGTCCAAAATGGTCAGACATGAGGCATGATTCTATAGGAAGCCATTTATGTAAATTATGTAACATAAATTTCAATCCTGTTAGCCCATTATCAACTTGGCTGTTTCCATCCGGAAACTAAACATTATTACGTCAGGGAGCGCCACCTGCTGGACAGAATGGTCTCTACCCCGCAAAGATCTGTGGCGGGTTCCCAAGCCTTGGAGAGAAGTTAGCCTTTGCTGGAGGGATTTGGTTTGAAAATTGCCTGCCAGCATATTCCTTCTTTTAAATCTTTGTGTTAACATGACAGCTCAGAGAGCCCGAGCTTCAAATTAATCTCAAGGGTCTGTCGAGCCCTCCTTGTGAATCCCGGGGAGCCGGTCGCAGCCATCTGTAGCTCTTGGTAGCTCTGACAAGTGCTGTTGTGTGTGCCTCACCTGCTGTCTGGTTCTCAGAGCATCCCCTGAGGATGCTCCATGAAAATGGGCCTCCCTGGCTGCAGACATCTGGGAAAAAATTGTACATTTTGTTTCCTTCTTGAAGAGGCACTGTAAGCATTCGTGTATTAAAGGTTGGAATAAAGTATACAGGAAGGAAGCCTGTATGACTTTATTCAAACCAGTGTTCCCCTAAATCAGTGGTTCTCAAACTAGAGTGTGTGTCAGCATCACCTGTGGGGCTCGTCACCCGCAGGGCGCAACCAACCTCGGGGTGCCTGGGTGGCTCAGGTCATGATCTCAAGGGTGGTGAGATGGAGCCCCACATCGGGCTCTGCACTGGGCACGGAGCCTGCTTGGGATTCTCTCTCTCCCTCTCCTTCTTCCCCTCGCCCCTCAATACAAACAAATAAACAAAAGAAAACCACAGCCAGCCTCAGGAGGGGCTCAAAATATACATTTCCAACAATTTCCTGGGTGGTGCTTATGCCCCTGGCCTAGGACCACATTTTGAGAACCACTGACCTGTTAAATCAACCCCAGAACCTTCTTTTCGAAGTTGGACCTTTTAATTTCCCCAAATAACCGGTGTTCCGTATAATGGAACACAGTGTGCAAAACTGTATAATGTCCTGCTCCCACCATGTCCCCGAGGAACCAGTCCCCACTGGTTCCTCTGTGGCACTCAGACCCTGGCCGGTCATCATCCTCTCCTCTCCAGATGGCCCTGCTCTGGTTCAGCTTCAACTCGTCACTCCTTACTTTTCTTCCCTTGAAGCTACAGGGAAAAAGGCATGGTGAAAACCCCCATTCTCCAAACCTGGTTGGCAATAAAATGTTTTCCCCAAGCAAAACTGTAGGGAAACTCTAGTCACATCCAGGATAAAATGGAGTCACCAGAACCACGGTCTCATCATCAGGAAGAGAACCGGTAAAAAACGAGTCGCATTGTCAGGTTCGCTGGGGGCTCCCCATGTGTCATGGAAAGACATTTCTCCTATTTGTAACTAATAAAAATAATTACTTTTATAATGGAAAGAGCTACCCTTACTGGGCAAATTATGTGCATTAAACCCCATTTTCCCAGCTTTCTCATCAAACCTGGAAAGGGAGTTTGAGAAGGTGGGTGAGGGTAGGCACATGATGTTGCTTTGGTGGAGGGATCCCGGGTCCCAGCCACCAGCAGGCAGCCCCCGGTGCTGAAGTGAAAGCTTCCAGTGGCTGCAGAGTACAGAGGTTCAGCTTGCAGACTCTCAAGGAGGATTGCCTGCTCCTGCACTTACTAGCTCTTGAGCAAGTTATTTAACTTCTTGGGGGGTGGGGTGGGGCGTGGTTCCTTCATCCGTAAAATGAGGATCGTGGCTGGGTTCCTGTAGGGCATACATGAAATAGGGTCCAAAAGCTGTCTGCATGTCCCTGGCAAACAGCAGGCTCATTTGAGGTGTTAGCTCTTAATGTTATCACGCTTCCCTGCCCTAAGACTTGCAGTCAGGTTTTAGAAGCTGGCCCAAACGTGCGTGGAGCACTGGGTGTTATGCACAAACAATGAATCATGGAACACTACATCCAAAACTAATGATGTGATGTGTGGGGATTAACATAACAATAAAAAATTAAAAAAAAAAAAAGCTGGCCAAGGTGACGGAGGAAATAGGCCGGCTTGAGATGGAAAAGTGGAAGGACCGGGGGCTGTGGCCTGAGCTGGGGCTGAGTCTGGGCCCGGCTGGCACCCTGAGCACCATGGGGGTCCTATCCCTGTTCCCCCAACCCCAGGGAATGTGAATGAGGCCGGTGGGACACCTCCTTGGCCCAGGGGTGCTTTGGCTTCCCCTGCTGTGCTCAGGAACTAGTGAGGTTCTACTCTGCTCGCGGGTGAGGGACAGACAGACAGAAAGGGGAGCATGACCCGGATGTGAGATTGGAGAGAACATGTGGAAATACCAAACTCCTCTACCAGGGACATTCTGTGCACCCTCAACTCATGAATGTGCCCTTGGCCCCATCCAGAGGTCCTGTGCAGTTCCACACGCCCATTCTTAGAGCTCCTCTCTGACCCTCTGTCCGGGAGGAGGCTCTGGAACAGCCTTGAGAGCTGAGCAGAGTGAGGGGAGGTTCATTTCCGGCCACATGGGAGAGGTGCCCACCAGTCTCTTTGCTTCTTTGCATGCCTGGGGAAGCTGTGGGGTCAGCAAGGAGCGAGGGGCCTGTGTTTCCAAGGCCTGGCTGCCTGGCCCTTGGCCCTAACCACATTCCTTATGCTGGGAGAAGTGTGGTAGATTGAAGAATTGCTTTGAAATTAAAAATGAATGAACTCTGTATTGTCAGAGAGGAGATGGACTCCATTTCTATCTTTTAGCTCAATTACAACCAGTGGAGTTAAGGTAACATGAGATAAAGGTGGGGTGGGGGGCAGGGTGCATGTGTATACATGGAATGGAACCAGTTCTCATTCATCTCCCATGGACTGCCTCCCAACCCACAACTCACTTTGAAAAGCAACTATACACAAGTATAAAAATCGTACTATAGGCCAGTAGAGAAAAATTACATTTTATACATGTGCATTTTTTCTCCTATACATTCCTATAGAAGTTTGATGTTTAAGTATATTCTTTTTTTTAATATTTTATTTATTAGAGAGAGAGAGAGAGTGAGAGAGAGCACAAGAGCAGGGTGAGGGGCAGAGGGAGAAAAGCAGACTCCCCCCTGAGCAGGGACCCCAAAGTCGGGCTCCATCCCGGGACTCCAGGATCATGACCTGAGCCGAAGGCAGACGCTTAACCGACTGAGCCCCCCAGGCTCCTGATGTTTTAAATATATTCTAAAAGTTAGGCAATGTATATATTCACATATATGTGACTGTCTAGGGTTATAGTGGGAAATACACACACACACACACACACACACACAAATATTCATATGCATAGATAGATGATAGATAGATAGATAGATAGATAGATAGATAGATAGATAGATAGATAGATAATCTCCTGTGTTTTATGGGCAGTTCACCACCAGCACACTCCAAAGAAATATAAATAAACACACTTCAATCAAAGATGTTCTGACTCTTCGAAATCACATGAGCCTACCTACTTTCCCTGGTCATATTGACTGAGAAAACCAGAAAAAAATAGTGAGAAGTATGAAATATAAACTATTCATAATGGAACAGAGAGTCACTCGTTTTAATTATATGTAATAGCTCAAACTAAGCTAACAAAATATTCATTTGAAAGAGATTTTTAGAGGGCTTGCTCTAATGAAGAAATAAAAATGATTTATAATTAGTGTTTCATTGTATGCGAGCGGGTGCTTCTAAGATGCTGGAAAATATACCTTTTTCTCTAAAATAGGCACTGTTTCCATGACAATCATGTTTATGCTAATCATTTTCTTAGTATTTTTTTTCTTTGTACTCTGTAGTAAAAATGATAAGTTTTAGCTCAGACTTTATCTAAATCAAATTAACAGAGTCCCAATTAGTGAAATAGCATGAATGTTGCAAAGCCATTATCAGCAACTTTTTAATTACCCAGACTTTGCCTCATCTCCATGAGAATAGGCTATGATGGAGATTCACACATAAAAACTACTTTTATGATAATAATAGCTAATATTTTTTAAGCACGTTCATTTGGCCAAGTAGTCTGCTAAGTACTTTATATACATTCTTGCATTTACGGCACACCTCTGAGGGGAGACAAATATTATCCCCATTTTGCAGATGCACCAGGAAACCGAGGCTTAGAGAGGTTATTTAAAAATGCAGTACCAGCCCTAAGCAGTCTGACCCTGGTTCACTCCACTGCTGGGTCAGGAGAGAGTGTGGATAAAGCGTGAGCTTGGATGAGACAGAAGACATTCCAGCGCATCAGCATTCTCCAGGCCTGCAGACCAGTGCTTCAGCCCGTGGAGAAGGTTCCTAGCTAGAACCTTCTAGAAGGTGGAAGGCTGGAGCTAGCTAGAAGGCTGGTCTGGCATCAGATTCAGTTGGTGGTGTCAGACTAGCTCCAGAATTAATATGAGCCCCTAAACGCAGGACCAGTTAGGGTCTTAGAAATCACTTTTCCAATTCAGTGTCACTCATAATCAAAGGCAAGCAAATTTTTCAAAGAGAAACTATTTTGTTCTCTTTATCTGTTAAATTGGCAAAGTTTTTTTTCTTTCTTTTTAAATGAGATGATCCATTATTTGCAAGAGACTTTCAGAGCTTGGCCAGAGGAAGCAAATCTTCACACCCTTGACCCAGTTCTGGGAGTGTAGCCCAAAGATATCCTGAAATGCAGGCACAAATAAGGTTCATCACAATGTTGTTCCCAATAGTGGAAAATGTGAAACATCAAAGGTGGCAAACATTGTGCAGGAATGGAGAGATGGAGGGTGGCTAATATGACATGGTAAATTTACACAATGAGATATGCTGTTCCAATTAGACAGGGAGTTCTTTGAAACATGGTCAAGTGTTAGGGGACCAAATTAGCCAAACAATCTGAATTGCAGGTCCAAAAGAAGAGTGTACATCAGCTTCAGCCTCTCATTCACTCATTTATTCATTCATTTAACAAATGTGTATTTAGTATCACTCTGAGCCATACACTGTTGGGTTCTGGAGACCTTGGAATTGAAAACGACATTGGCCTTACCATCCTGGGGCTTACATTGTAGCAGGAAGACAGATGTAAAGAAAGAATTACCCAGTTTTACAGGATGCTGTGTGTCAGGTAACTGGGGAAGGAAGGTATCTGAGAGGAAGTGGCCCCTGGGTTGGGTTCTGAAGAATTTAACAGTCCAAAGGTGGGGTGGTCCTGTGCACACAGAGGGAGAGGGACACGGAAGAGAGTTCCAATTATAGGGAATGGCATCGTATGTGCAAAGGCCCTCTGTTACAAGGGGCATGTCAGAAGAACAACCCAAAGAAATGCAGAGGTCAGGGGTGGGATGGAGGGAAAGGATGGTATCTGGAGAGTCACAGGATGAATCTGGAGAGGCAGGAAGGGATAGACTGGGGGCCAGCAAACTTCTGTGAAAAACCAAATAACTTATACTTATTTATAAACATTTTAGACTTTGCCAGCCAGGAGGCAAAATCAGTAATATTATATATGTATTTATATGACAAGAGTGGAAAGAAATTTGCACAAAATTTTTATTGATTCATAAAAATTGAGTTCAATTTTTTGTCATACATTTTTACCAATGAGAAGAATGGAATATTCACAGAGAATAATATTTTGCTTAATTAGCTGAATATTTGGCCTAATTCTCTATTATCAAAATTGGTTATAAGTGTTTATTAAATGCTGATCAGAGATGAGATTTCCTGTATTTCATCTTTATAAACATTTTTTTACGCAAACACTGATATAGTCCACAACCATATAATTTTCATTGAGCATATTCATGGCTTGGCAAGCATTTCTAGAATTCTATTAGATTTTTCTCAATACTCGCCCTTCAGCATGTCATTACATTGCAGATTAAGCACTTGCCTTTGAAGGCAAGATGGAAACTCCTCAATTGCCTTGTTACATGGATTTTGAAGCATGATATTTTCTTTGCACTTACATCAAAGTCCAAAAGATGCTGCTGGAATGGCAGCTCAGGCTCAGAAAATATATCATGCCAAAAATTTATGTGGCATGAGCTGTAGCTTCTTGTTTTAACTTTCAGTTGAATGGAAAGTACATAAAGCTGCCTAACATTACTTATGATTGGAACAATGTTAATTGCCATTACAATGACTTTACCATGGTATAAGTTGTGCCTGTAAGTAGAAGTCTTGCCTTGAAATTTAAGTTCAGTTCACTAGGAAATATTGTCAAATCCATAGCAAAAGCTAATGTCCAAAGCCAGTGAGTGTCCAGTGACAGCGATGGAGAGCAGTTCTCATTCAGAAAAATTTTAATCCCAGCCCTGAGCTCAAAAGTTCACAGTAAAACTTTATCACGGCTCAGTTATCAAACTGCTGGGTGGTAGCATGAGTCAGGGTGTACTGCTTCTATACAGCGGGTGAGGGATAAGTTCACAATAGCAAAAGATGTTCATCCTTGATACTGCTGGTTCCGTAACACCTGATAGATTCTTATATTTTCCACAGAGTGCCTACTGATGGATAATACAATGAATAATTATAGGCTTCAAACATCTTACACTTTTTAAAAGATTTTATTTATTTATGTGAGAGAGTGAGGGAGTGTGCATGCGCGCACGAGAGAGAGCATAGAGGTAGAGTGGGAGGGAGAAGCAGACTTCCCGCTGAGCAGAGAGCCCGACACAGGGCTCGATCCCAGGACCCTGAGATCATGACCTGAACCGAAGGCAAACGCTTAACTGACAACCACCCAGGCACCCCAACATCTTACATTTTTATGAGCTTTGTAAATTTGGCCAACTAACGCTTTCTCTGCATCTCCATATTTTTTACACCTGTCAGTTGTCTACACGTCTTGGTAGATTCCACTTCAGTTATTCGGCACTAGTGTTTCCTCAACCTCTTTGAAATTTTCTTGCCTGAACTCATTCTACACAGACTCTTCACAGCAGCGAATTCTTGACTCACTTCAGACTCGTCATCACCTCCTCAAATAAACAACGGAATAATATCGATGCTATCCACCTATCAGTCAAAAAATACCACCCACAATTATTTGCCTTGTGTTTCAATTGATTATTGATGTTGCTTTCAATATCATTAACTTCTCAAGCAGCTGTTTCTACAAAAAGGATAATAGTCTTTAAAACAGAGTATTTTCTCTGGACACATTTGTTCAGCTGTTCAGTGAAACCAGACTGGGGTACATTCACTGTTTTCCCTGCTTGGCTAACACATCAGCCACTTGGAAACCTAGTTTCATTGTTTATTTTTACTCTGTTTCATTATTTATTGTGAGGAGGAAATTGTGCTGTGGTGAGATCTTCAGTTGTAAACTTTCTAAATGTATGACCATTGCTTTCCTTGTGAGTTGGGATTGTGTGATGAGGCTGAGGTTGGTAGCGTTGGTGTATGCCATATTCTCCTCGCATGGCTGTCATGTCATGGCATGAGAAACACAATGCTTTGCCATCTCAGTTTGATAAAAGAATAAGCTCCTATGCCAAGGTGCCTTAAAAGAGCAACATTCGAAGTCACTTCTGTTTCCTGGTTCTGACATGATGGTATACGCTGGTAATAAAATAAAGCAAAATATTATGATAGGGCAATCCGCACAGCATTCCCAACACTGCCAAGTTATACCCATGTCACCGTGATTTACAGCGTGCTGAGCAGCAGTGTTAAAGCAATGAGAACTGTCACCACTACGCATCCTGCTCTGGGAGCCTGAACACAGGCACAGACGTTAAAAGAGTGAATGAACGGGGCTGTGTTCCAATAAAACTTTATTATGGATACTGAAATTTGAATTTCCCATCATTTTCACGTGTCAGGAAATAGCATTCTTGGTTTGCTCCTTCTCAACCATTTAAAAATGTGAACACTATTCTTGATTTATGGGCCATACAGAAATAGGCGGCAGGCTGCACGGGGCCCACAGAGCCTAGTTTGTCAGCCCCAGTTTTAGGCCACGTGAGGATGTTGGGCTCTGCTTCTGTTCGGAAGGCTTCCCTTCTGGGCATGCAAGGGAGATTTGCCCAAAGCCAGGGGCAGCCCTGGGAACACCAGCCAGGCGGGTAGTCTGAGCGTGGGCATTTCCTTGCAGGACGGTACCCGAGTCATAGGAAAATGCGGTGGTTACTGTGGAAAATGTACTCCGTCCTCTGGCACTGGCCTGGAGGTTCGAATTTTATAGTCAAGGTAAGTCAGTCCTGCGTTTTTCTCTTTCTCTCTCCTGTTCTTTCTGTAAACTCATGACTAGCAAATGGAGGCGGGTCAGTTGCCCCCAGACAGGTTAGTATGAAGTACCTTGAAAGTGACACAGTACTATTCTACCTTTTTCTCTCCTGCTCACCTGCCCTCACGTGATTGAGGTCGTCTGCGCTCCACCCTGGGATGTGAGGTCCCTAGGCTTCTCTGCATCAGATTCCTCTGCGGTATTCATGCGAGATACTTACCAGACTCCATCTCTAGAGGTCCTTGGGTCTCTGGCACATCTAACAATCTGTATTTTTGATATAGGGAATTCTGATTCAAGTGACCTGTGGATTCATGTTTGAGATGCTGCCCGAAGAGTATTGCAATAGTAATATTAATGACATTCGGTGAGCCCTATGTGTCAGGCACCATGCTGAGCACTTTGCAGGCATTATTACCCTGAATCTTCACAATAAAGCCACAAGATGGGGCTATTATCCTCATTTTACAGATAGAAGCTGAGGCCCACAGAGCGAAGTGGCTCGCTTAAGGTCCTGGTAGATTCCTTTGGCAGAATCCATCCGTGTTCTCCACCAAAGCCAGGGCTCTTGATTAATATGCCATTCCACACACTTGTGACTCAGTGTCATCCAAGGACTAGCGTGATCAGCATCGCCTGGGAACCTTTTGGGATGCGAACTCTCAGGCCTTACCCTAGACCTACAAAACCAGAATCTCTATTTTAACAAATCTGCAAGAGAGTCACACATGGTAAAGTTTGACAGTACCTGGTCTAACTACCTTATGCTGCCATGTGCTCGCTCTGCTGGTGAGAGGACTGAATTGGTCACTTTCTCTTGTCCCAGTGCCTTCAGCTACAGTGGATGAGTTCAGCCAATTTGATGAGCCTTCTACAACTTATTTCAAGCTTTCAGCAGCCCATTCTCCTGTAGGGCTCTTCAAGATCCTGACATAGGCGTACCTACCTGACATTTATATATCAGTATTTCACCGTTGCTTTAAACATCCATATTCAGAATGATGATCTTAAATTAGGATTGTTTCCATTGCAAGAGGTAACAGGAAAAAAAGGAAATTTACTGCCTTAAGTACCTGAGAAATCCAAGCAGTGGGCTAGCTTCAGGCATAGCTGGATCCAGAGGCTCAAACGGACTCATCAAGACCCTCTCATACTCCCATCAGAGAGCTTGCTTCATTCTCAGGCAGACCATCTCCCCCACTCCATGGTCCCTGGCAGCTCTAGGCTTACATCATCTTTGCAGCTCATGGCCCCAGATAAATGCTCACCTCCAGCATCTATTCTGCACAAGAACTCAGGCTGTCCTTGGTCACATGGGCACTTCTGAACCAATCACAATGTCCAGGAGACTGAGATCATGTACCCGCCTGGAGTTGGGTGATTGACAACTTCATTTAGAAGAGGAAGAAGAAGGAGTTTATTGGATGGGATGGAGGCAGGCAAGGTCAGGTATCCACTAGAGAGCCCCATTTTGTATGTATTTTACACCTAGTAAAATAGTTTTGTATGTATTTATGTGTAGAAAAATTTCTGTGAGTGTATATACATAATATTTACATGTATGTCTAGAAAAAAACTAGAAGGAAATGTACCAATATTTGAAGAGCATTGTCTCACGTGAGAGATTTCAGGCTAGTAGTTTTTTATTTTATTCTTTTTATACTCCCTTGAAATGTTCATGTTTCTTAGAGCAAACATATGTCACTTTTAAAATCTAGAGAAAATAGTGTCATTTTTAAAATTCTATATGTAAAAATGTATAGGTTACCTACTTTTGACTTATGTATGGCATTTGAGACGGTTTACATTTCTTTTTATATTCAGGTGCTCTGAAGAGGAAACCATTATGGGATGGATGAAGGATAGTAATGCAATACCTCCACCTTAAAATGTGTGTGTGTGTGTGTGTGTGTGTATGGACTTGTATGAGTGTGTGTGTGTGTACATATGCACATATATACATATATACACACATATATGTACATATGTGTGTATATATGTAAATATCCTAATGATGTAAAGTTTAATATTTATGTTTGAAATTATTTATTGTGATGTAATATTTTTGTACGTAAAATGATTCTATTATGACTGCCTTTTGCATTATTTTGTCCCTTGCAGTCAGATCACTGCATTTTACGTACTCTACATTATATGTAGTACTATGACAAAAGTGATCCTTCATTATCACGGTACACTATTGTTTACTTTCTATCTGTAAATATTTTATTGTTACGTTTTAAAATTGTACTTTGTTTTTTTAAAAAACCTAGCTGCCATCAAGGTGCTACAGGAGTTGTGTAAGTGTACTTTGGCATTTCTAGGAAAGTATCAGCCAATAAATAACGTAGTGATGTCACAGATCGTTCCAACTATTAGTTATGTTAACTATTCGGTTTCATGTGATCTCTGGGAAAAAAAAAATTGCTGCCCTGGTGCTATATATTGTATATATTTAAGTGATCATCAGCCTCAGAAATGTAAACATTTTTAATAAAAGGGAGGAATGGAAGGACACTTTGCAATGGACAGAATCACTTGGAAAAATAAGACCAGCTTGTTTATCCTTATTTTTGGACATGCCTATTTTGGAAGAGAGTTGGACTCTGTTCTTTTTTGCTATTGTTGTGAATACTTTGCTTCAGTTCATGGTGCCTGGAGCTCTCTGAAGTTAAATGGAGGGTACCCCAAAGCAGCTTCATTACAGAGTGATACTGAGAAGGTGGGATCCTCTCAACATTTTGCCAAGATGTTCTAAAGTGGTGTCCAAGTTCATCAGTGGCAAGACAGAGGATGCTCAGGATGGGATGACCTTCAGCACTCCCAGCACACCTGGGGAAGTTCAGAACCAGTTCTCAGTCATCACGATTGCCTTTTGCATAAACACCTTGGCTGGTGACGTGACTTATCGTCAGGATGTGAGCCTAGGACCCTGCCAGTGTTTGTGGCTGCCACCATAATCAGCATTTGTGAGAAGACATAAACTGTGGAGTACAAGACGCCTGAGTCTTTCTGATTTTCCATTAATGCACGCTTGTTACTTATTTCCAAAATGGAAGTTGAAGTCAGTGTCTTTCTGCCCTTCTGACCTGATTGAAGGGAAATCATTACCAGTGGCCCGAGGCAGGTGCTCGCTTTGAGAAATCCTACCCACCTCCACAACCCAAAGAGATTAGAAAAAACCTGGCAGTAACCTCCAACCTCAAACAAACTCCAGAGTGCTCCAGAAGAAGTTATGCTCAGTGTATGAATAAGTGTTATTCTCCTTTATTAATACATTGTGAAATATACTATGAATAAATACCATGAGCACATCCAAACGTGTGTTTTACATGGTTTCTGGACTCTTGATTCGAGTAGGAATGAAAATATGTCTTAATTTTTTAAGATTGCCAGATTGAGAAGCAAGGCATATTTTCATAATACCCTCGATTACAGTTGCCACTCCAGAGACTAATAAGGGACGGGGATGGTCCCCAAGGTCTGCTTTTTCACCCAAAATCAGTTGAAGTGGTTCTGAAAGAGACATGACTCTTTTGTCTGTGTGATGGGGAACAAATGAACAAATAAAAGAGGAGATTTAAGTGGGCTTGGGGGCTTCATTGTTAATTTTATGTAGCAGGAGTTTCTACTCTGTGGACTTAATGGTGTCCAGGGAAATAAGGAAATCAAATAAACAGCAAATAGTAAGTTGGGCATCCACCATATGCCAGCCCCTCTTCTGAATTGTTTTAGCTCATCCTCATAACCACCAAGTAGAAGTTCACATACAGTGAATAAGTGGCAGTCCCCGAAAGCCCCTTGTGTGGCTCTGGCTGGGTTACATGTCCACCTCTGGGCCAGTCACGTTGTTGAGGGGGCTGGTGTCATGTACCACCTAGAGTCAGGTGATTGATAGCTTCAGCTGGAGGGAGAAGGAAAGGTTTTGTTATCAGAGAAGGATAGATAGTATAAAGATAGACAAAAGCAGAAGGTATCCACTTCAGAATCCAACTGTGTGTGTGTTTGTGTGTGTGTGTGTGTGCATGCGCATGTGCGCATGCACAAACTCAAATCCCATAGCTTATATCACAGCATTGGTATAATCCCTCAGCATCGTCTGAGACCTGGGTTCTCGTTGTTTTCCTGACATCTACTAACTGTCTGATCCTGAGCCTTAGTTTCTTCATCTGTAAAATGAGGCTATTGATAGTCCTCCCACTTACCTTGCAAGATTGTTTATTGAAGACCTTTTCAGCTCTACATCAGTGGTGTCAAAATAGCTGCCCTCAAACTATGCATCAGCAAATTTAAACTGATGGACAGCAGTGAAGACATGAACCGTTTCAGTTAGGAATTGCGTTCAACTGCTAATTTCAGAGACCTGACTACAATGGCTTATACATTAAAAAGTGTACTTCACTGTTAAGTACAAGAAGCCTGGAGGTAAGCAATCCAGGGCTGGTATGGCAGCTCCACAAAATCCTCAGGGGCAGAGTTTCTTTCCCCTCTCTCTTCTCCTCAATCCTCCATAGTTCAATATAGCTGCCAGGGTTCCAGCAATCACTCCCAAATTCCGGGCAACAAGAAGAAAGGAGTGGAGGAAAAGGATAAAAAGTGGCCTGGCCCCAGCTCTCTATATTTCTTTTAAAAAGGTTTTCCAGAAGCCTGATTTGACAAATTCCACTTAAGCTCCTCAGCCAGAATTTAGTCATGTGGCTTCACCTAGCCAGCAGGAGCAATAGGGAAACTGGATTGTTTCACAGAGTACGTTGCCAACCTGACTAAAATGAGGGATCTGTTCCTATGAAAGAAGGCAAAATGTGTTTGAGAGAGACAACCAGAAGTCTCTGTGACGGGTTCAAATACAGAGACAAGAGGGAGTGGTTTGGAAGAAATTATCACAAAGTAAGCAAGAGATAATAGGATCTGGATGAGAGTTGTGACTCGTAATGGTGGAGAATTATAAAGTGATGGAGGTAGTAAGATGAACAGAAGCTGACAATGGATAGATTGGGGGTGGACTGCAGGAAAGAAGACCGCTGGTAGGGGTTCAGATACGAGGTTTCATTTGCCTGCAGATACAGCCAGGGTGATGCAAAGATGAACGCATAGGCGGCTCAATGGACAGATACCGTCTTTTAGTCTGCTAATCTTTTTATATTTTTATAGCACTATATAAATTAAATACTGTCTTTCTATTCTTGTCATTCATTTATCTACCCAAATAGTATTTATTGCACATCTGCTAATTTCCAGGCATATTCTAGGCACTAAGGGGTGCAGCAATGTATTCGTTAGGGTACAGGCTAGAGGCCGTATTAGTCCACTAGGGTTGCCGTAACAGAATACCGCAGAGCAGGTGGCTTCGACAATGGAAATTCATTCTCACAATTCTGGAGGCTGCAAGTCCGAGATCAGGGTGCCGCGTGGGTTGGTTTGTGATGAGGCTCCCTATCTGTTTCATAGACATGCCTGGACATGCCTCTTCTCACAGTGCCTTTACATGGCCTTCCCTCGGTGTGAGCCCTGAGATATATATATATATATGTATATATATATATATATATATATACATATATATATATATATATATATATATAGAGAGAGAGAGAGAGAGAGAGAGATATCTTTGGTGTCTCTTTCTCCGTATGAGGACACCAGTCCTGTTGGCTAGGGCCCCACCCTTATGACTTCATTTAACTTTGATTATCCCCTTACAGGTCATACCTCCAAATATGGCCACATTAGGGGTTAGGGCTTTAACATAGGACTTTTGGGGAGGCACAATTCAGTTCATAACAGAGGCTCTAAGGAAGAGATCCCAAAATAACATGGATATTTATTTCTCTCTCTTCCCCATGCAGAGGTCCCATCTCACTGGGGACTTGATTCTGTATGTCATCAGAGAACTTGGGCTCCTTCTGTTCTGTGGCTTAGCCATTCTCAAAGTTGTCCTCAAACGGCTTGTCCTCATCACATCTGTGTTTAGCTTGCAGGAAGGGAGCAATCGTCTTAAGGTCCTAAGGCAAGACTTGGAAGTTAAAGACTGACTTTTATTCCCCACTTATTGGCAGTTGCTTCAATGCACGGCCTCGTTGAGCTGCAGGAGAGGCTGGGAAATGCTCACTAGCGGGCCACCATGTACCAGCAAATGCTACGGGCAGGTGGGGATTCTGTTACAAAAGGAGGAAGGGAAGGATGGCTGATGGGCAAATTAGCAGCTTCTGCCACCAGCAGTGAACAAAACCTATAAAAATCTGTGCCCTTTGGAACTTACGTTGTAGTGGCAACAGATGGACAAGAAAAGAAGCAAAGACCCAACAAAACCACACCACAGTGGTTTCCCAGTTGTAATTCTGACCCTGTTGACCACCATGGCCCCCAAATAAGATCATGGCCCGCCGCGTCATTCCCTCAGCGTCAAGAGCTCTCATAGCCAAAGCTTTCACACAAGCTGCAGTTCCCTTTGCCTTCGTGGGTCCACTTTTCTTGTGATATAATAGTATCTAATACAATAGTAATACAATACTGATACAATAGTAATAAACAGCAAGCAAAACCTAGTGTGGAATGGGGAGAAGTACCAGAGGGAGAAATAAAGGGAGAAGAGGAACAGAGCCTATCCCGTATCCTGGGGTGAGTGTGTTGCTGTTTTAAATAAAGAGGTCAGAAATTCCTTCTTTATAAACTTCTGCAGCTACAAACAAAGCTGCGGGTCCCCATAAAAGCTTGCCACCAACCGCCCTGGGTGCGGGGAAATTCCACCTGTCGCCAACAGATGGCGGGAGAGGTCCTGCTCTGGCTTTTGGTCGCCAGTCTATGTCATTGCGCTGTTAAGCCTGCAATGTTTTCTGCTTATTTTTAGTATATGTGCTGCCGA